TCCCCTCCTCCCCTCCCCAAATGTAGATATGTGCACTAGGAAACTAGAGGCTGCCGACTGGTGTCTTTCTGGATCTTTCTCCACCTTATTTCCCAAGGCAGGATTTTCTTTCTTTCTTTCTTTCTTTCTTTCTTTCTTTCTTTCTTTCTTTCTTTCTTTCTTTCTTTCTTTCTTTCTTTCTTTCTTCTTTCTTTCTTAAGCTGGGTATGTCAGAGCACACCTTTAATTCCCAGTACTAGGAGGCAGAGACAGGCGGATCTCTGAGAGTTTGAGACCAGCCTGGTCTACAGAGAAAGTTCCAGGACAGCCAGGGCTGTTACACAGAGAAAGCCTGTCTTGAAACCCCTCCAAATTTTTTTTTTTTTTTAAGGTCTGGAGACCTCCATAGGCACCAGACAGAGGTGTGGCACACACATTCAGTCAAAATACTTATATACATAAAAATAAGTTAACTTTAAGATTTAAAAAATATTTTTTAATGTGTGTCTGAATGAGTTTAGGTGTACTGTATACGTTCTTGGTGCCCACAGAGGTCAAAAGAGGGAGGGTGTTGGATCTCCTGGAACTCGAGTGTGGTTGGTTGTGAGCCACCATGTGGCTTCTGGGAATGAAACCCAGGTCCTCTGGAAGAGTAGCCAGTGCTCTTAATAGCAGAGCCATTACATCCAGGGAGACAGGGTGTTTCAGTGAACCTAGAGCTAAGTTATGCTTCGTTTCCAATGAGCTTCGGGGATCTGCCTGTCTCCATCTTCAGCGCTGGAGTTAGAGGTGCTCTACATGCCCAGGTGAATGTGAGGGATCCAAACTCAGGTCCTCATGCTTTGATGCAGGGCCTGACTGAGCCAGCTCCTAGCCCAGAGGCTTGTTCTTGTAAGCCTCTGCCCACACTTTTATAAACTGGTCAGTAGATTACTTTATGTTTGTTTAAAAGCATCTTATGCCATCTGTGTTGATTAATATAGAACCCATGTTCCTCAGCCTGTAATTCACACCTGCAGCCATTTCTCAAAAACACGTGTGTTATCTATAAGGTTATTTGTGACCTCCTAGTACTCTGGACAGGAAACAGTTTCTCACTGCTGTGTTTGGAGCCATTTTAAACAGCATGAGAAGCAATGCGGAAACACCACAAAAGATACAGAAACAAAGGTAATGGGTATCCTGTAAGAGAGACTCACGCGTGCAAGTGGAAGATGAAGCAGGAACAGAAAGTATTTCCTCACTTGCCCTCAACGGGCAGTATGTTCAAGTGACTCAATTTTTTTTTTTTTTTTTTTTTTTTTTTTTTTTGAGCTGAGGACTGAACCCAGGGCCTTGCACTTGCTAGGCAAGCGCTCTACCACTGAGCTAAATCCCTAACCCCGTGACTCAAAATTTTTAACCCAGGGTTAATTTTAGCCCAGGGTGGTGACATACACACTTTTTTTTCTTGGTTTTTTGGACAGCCCTAGTTGTCCTGGAACTTGCTTGATAGACCAGGTTGCCCCGGTGCTCACAGAGATCTGCCTGCCTCTCCCTCCTGAGTGCTAGGAGTGACAAACATTTTTAATCTGAGCACACAAAAGACAGAAGTAGGTGGATCTCTGTGAGTTGGAGGCCAGGCTGAATACACACAGCAAGTTCCAGGCCATCCAGGTCCATAGCAAGACCTTGTCTCAGTGTGTGTGTGTGTGTGTGTGTGTGTGTGTGTGTGTGTGTGTGTGTGTGTATGCACAGCAAGACCCTGTCTCAGTGTGTATGTATGTGTATGTGTGTGTGTATACACAGCAAGAACCTGTCTCAGTGTGTGTGTGTATATACAAACATACACATATATAATGTGTATGTATACACACACACACACACACACACACACACACACAAATATTTAACTGTGTTGTTCAAATCTTAGAAGGTATTTTAGTAAAAATCCCAGAGCCAGATACTGGGGTGAAAGCTGAAAGATCAGAGAAGTAGAGCAAGCCACAGCCAACCTTACCTTGCCAACTCCTCAGCCGATCCTATTTCCATGAACCCCTCAGACTGAAAGCTTGAGTCCTCACTGGAAAGGGTCTCAGCTGAACTGCCTCATTTCCTATTTCCTCATGCCTTATATACCTTTCTCCAACCTGTTGTCATTTCCTGGGATTAAAGGCGTGTGTTCCACCACTGCCTGGCTCTGTTTCCAGTGTGGCCTTGAGTTTATAGAGATCCAGATGGATCTTTGACTCCTGAGTGATAGGATTAAGGGTGTGTGCCACCACTGTCTGGCCTCTATGTCTAATCTAGTGGCTGGCTCCGTCCTCTGATCCTCAAGCAAGCTTTATTAGGGTACACAATATATCACCACATAACTGAGTTATTTTTTATTTATGTATTGTGTGAGTATATACACATTGTGAAGAGTCCAGAAGAGGACATCATATCCACTGGAACTGGAGTTTCAGGCCCTTGTGAGCCACCTAATGTGGGTGCTGGGAATCACACCTGGGTCCTCTGGGAGAACAGCAAGTGCTCTTTACTGCGGAACCATTTCCTCGGCCTCAGGGGGCTCAAATTTTTGACACTCTGTGTGTATTAATGAATAGCTGAAAAGTACCACTGATTTTGGTATGAGAAGAAATGTTAGGAAGTAGGTGGATAATGAAGATCAAATATACTGGTGAAATAAACAAACATGAAACTGTGTCCAACACACAAAAAGCAGACTGAGTTTGGATCCTCAGCACCCCATAAAAGCCATGTATGGCAACATGTGTCTATAACTCCAGTGGGAGTGGGAAGGGGGCAGGTGGATTCTGGGAGCTCATTGGTAGCCATTCTAGCCCAAACTGAACTCTGAGTTTAGTGATAGTCCCTGTCTCAGTAAAACTGTGGGGCCAGAGAGGTGGCTCAGTGGATAAAGGTACAAGTCACACAAGCCTGCCAGCTTTAGTTCAATCCTCAGAGCCCACGTAAAGGTGTGAGGAGAGAATGGACTTCCACAACACTGTTCTCTCCTTTCCAAATGCACACCATGGCACATGCATGCCATGGGACCTCCTTTCTCTCACTCACATGCACATACCATAATAAATAAAAGGAGGCCAGACCTTGGCAGTACACACCTTTAATCCCAACACTCAGGATGCAGAAGCAGGTAGATCTGAGTTTGAGACCAGTTTTAGCTACATATTGAGTTTCAGTCCAGTTAGGGCTATATCTTAAAAATAATCAGTAAGGTTACAAAAAATTAAGATCACATGATGAGCACACTTTGTAAGTATACACACACAGGCACATGCATTTACAATATGTGTGCACAGATACGCACAACTTCACAAACATATTTTCTTAAAGTGTAGATGCAGGGCTGGAGAGATGACTCTGGGTAGGAACCCCAGCAGCTCTTACAGAGGCCCAGGATTGGGTTCCCAGCTCCCACATGGTAGGTAGATCACAATCATCTGGAACTCCAGTCCCAAGGAATTCACACTTTTTTTCTTCAAGGACACCAGGCAAGCACATGATGTTCATATATACACACAGGCAACATACTCATACACATAAATGAATAAAAAGAAACTTTAAAGTATAGTTGTGGCCACTGAAAACAACATATGCTAGAACACAAACAGTTCACTGGCAGCCTTACAGGTCATTCACCAATGGCAAAGACACAAAGCCACCCAAAGTTGGAAACTGAGGAATATATCTGCACCTGCCCCCTGACTACTACCAGTCACTCCTGGGGAGATATGAGCAAAAATTGTAGTGTATGCTCTGCAGAAAGGTTCCGTATGAGAGCTGAGGTCAGGTGGGGAGCCATCTACTCTTCTGTGCTGAGAGTCACCAATGGATGGGTTTTTCTGTGTTTCCCTTTCTGATTCTAGGCGACAGTTTGCAATGAGAGCAGTCCAAGCCAGTGTGGGACAGATGAGTTCCTATCTGAGACCTTCTGCTGCCAACTTTGTCCTGCTGGTGAGTTCCAGGATGCTTTCCAGAGCATTCCACAAGCCTGGCCTTCTGGTGGGAAAAGATGCTACAGGCCTTTAGCTAGGGCTGAACTGGAGACTTCATGGAGAGAGGTGTAATCAGACAGAAAAAGGGAAGTGGGTGTCACCTTAGCAACCAGCTGCTACTTGCCCTGCCCCACCCAAGCACTGCCCCTGACTTTGGAGGACAAAAAAACCAGAGACATGTGTGTGTCTGTCCAGAGATGGGCATTGATGTGTTCTACAGAAGCAGCAAGAAGATGCCTGAGAAAAAGCGTATGAGTGTCTGCACCTGGACCCAGCCCTCATCCTACACAACTGCCAACACACACATCTGTATGCATACCTACCTGCAAACACACCTACTCATGCACTTAAATGCACATGAGTCTGTGGACACCCATTTGGGTCTGTATGCACACCTGCACACACTTGCGGGTACATAGCCATGTGTGGGCACATCCCTACAAGCACACTGCACAAAAGTGAGGTGGGACTGACCGACCTCCCTGAACACTGTGGGAGTCAGCACATGTGCAGAGATCATATTGTGAGGTGTGCAGCTGTCTCCCTGTGCTTCTGCCATAGGCCGAGAAGGTGGCAGGGACCTTGGCTAAGGATCTAATCTTTATTTAGACTTTGGAGTTCTGTGAAACCATCATGGGCAGGCAGCAACCTGGCATGAGACGGGGAGATGGACACGAAGGCCTCTCGTAGGCCAGCTCTCTAGGACTCTGGAGTGAAGAGGAAGAGCTCTCTTGCTCCAACACCCTGCGGGACATCAGTCTCAGCCAAGGGGTGACGCAGGGCCTCCACACATTAAGTTTAGTATGAAGACTGTGGCAGGGGGGCTGGGGGCCTAGGAGTGGGTAGTGAGGGGATCTAGCACCCCAAGGGCTTCACTAGGCCCCCCAAACACCTCTTTCTCCTCTCACATAGGCACCCATCTCATTAAATCATGCCAGAGGAACCACAGCAAGAGTGAGTGCATCCCATGTGAGCTTGAAAACTTCATGGACTACAAAAACAGGGAGTATTCCTGCTTCCGCTGCTCTCATTGCCGGGATGGTAAGTGGGCAGCCTCGTCCATCCATCCGTCCATCTGTCCGTCCATGGGGGCAGCCTCTCCACCAATAGTTAAAGCAGGCAGACTGGCAGGGAGAGGGGCCACAGAAAGATAATGAAGATGGCAAATGCTGCCTTCCTCCCACTCTACCTGACACAAAGGCCTAATAGGCTTTTTTCTCTCTCTCTTCTCCCCGCCCCCCCCCCCCCCCCC